CATGATCTTGTCTGGCTCACACAGGGCTTCTGTACATGGTGCTAAGCCACTTCGGTCCACTGGTCATTTGCTAAGTGGTAGATAGGTTTGGAGCAGTTCAGGGGCTGCCTTGGAAGTGGCCAGAGTCCTACTGTATGAGTCAGAAGCTGTGGCTATGTTTCTCTGCTATCAGATCTTCTGTTATTCACTGGAAGGCTGTGGGAGTGGCCAAGTTAAAAAATGACTATGGTTGTCCAAGCTTACTCTGCTTCCAGGGATTCGAGAAATTTATAAACTCTCACCTAGATTTAACTCATTGACACAGTCCATGTCTAAATATCAGATCTTTACACCATGAGCAAGAGGGCTCCAGGTGAGAGGAAGGAGGATATCGTGTGCCAAGAGGAAGTGATGTTGAAACTCATATAAATTGCTTAGAGGAAATGATCAGATAAGGCAAAGGTAAGGTATCAGATCACTTACAGCACTGAGTTTAAGCAGTCATTTGACACTTTTCCACCAAGGCCCTAACCTGGGAGTGGGTCCTATTGCAAGGCTGTGGTAAAATCAATCCTATAAAGTCTCAGGCTCGATTCTACAGCAGAGCTTCCCAGCTGGTGGGCACCTACCACACTTTCCCAGCAAATAAGATCTAGCTAGAAAATAATCAGCCTTGAAAACTGGAGATCAAAAATGATCAATCAGCCTATCCTTGCCATTCTTGTCCTAAGCATGTCATAGATCTACAACTGAGAGGTGCCTTCCCTGTGCAGGGAGGAAAGGAACGTCCTTGGCTCTGAAGACAAAGGGACACAGAGCAAGCTGAGTTCTCCCAGGTGCTACCATTGTACACCCCTTTATCCAATCATATTTCTCCATGGTTCTCCACATTCCCTCACTTTGAAGAATAAAAATGCATGAATTTCCCTGTATCTTTGGGTATTTATTTCTGAAGACTCTCATATCATGCAGAGCTAATATTAAACGCATTGGCATTCTTTTCTCTTATCAATCTATATTTTGTTATAAGGGCCTCAGCTATGAACTTGGCAGTGGGTGAAGAAATCTCTTCTTGTCCTATATATTAGGTTAGATCTGCAGCTTGGCCATATGGGCAGAACATTGTCACAGAGCTCTTTGGTTGTGCAGAGCTGGACCTCACAGTTTACCTGTACTGGGGATTGAACCCAGGCCTTTGCACTGAGCTACATTCCCAGTCCTCTTTTTATTTTAAGACAGGGCCTCACTAAGTCACTAAAGTTTCCCAAGCTGTACTCAAACGTACAATCTTCCTGCCTGAGCCTTCCAGAGTGCTGGGATTACAGGCATGTGCCACAATGCCTCGCTTTTCTCACAGTTTGGTTCACCAAAGTGAATTCCTAATTAAAATCCAAACAGAATTGGAATTTCTTGGGCATTTGACCTATCTAGAATCCCAGAAGCAAGTCAACTTATTGGCATTTCTTTCTTTAAAGAGAGAGGAACTACAACAGGGATGGAAAGAAGGTTCTATAAATGTGAAATGACATACTATTGGAGAATGACAGGAGAGAGTCTTTTAAAATTTTCATTGCCATAATTATCAGCTTTCATTTGTTAAATGTATAGAGTGGCAACCAATTTCCTCCTTGATCAAGTTATTATTTCCTAAGACTGTTTTTCCACAGAATTGTGGAAAACTGTGCATTTTATCCTGCCATCTGTCTTTTTGGTACTGGGGATCGAACTCGAGTCCTTCCACTTGCGAGGCAGGCGGTGGAACCACTGAGCTAAATCCCCAGCCCTGCCATCTGTTTTTGATAAGGAGACTTCAAAACAGGTGTGGGTTGTGTGTTGGTGTCAAAGGAATATCTTAATTTCAGAGTGCTTTGAAAATACAAAGCACCTGCTTGAAACAGACCTTTAAATTTCCAATAAAGCTGTCAGCCCATCACTGGAAATGTAGTTGTGAGAGTCAAAGAAACCTGGCTAGAAGGAAGGCTCATTCCCTGTTTATTTTGTTAAGACTTCAGCCCAGAGAAGGGGCACAGTTCATGAGAGAGAAAACACCTCCTTGGGAAATGTGCTGATTCTAGATGAGTGGCAGGAGTCAGTATGAGCCAGTGGCATTCTGTGGAGCCAGGAAACTAGAAAGCTGAGACTATTGGTGCTGTCAAGAGGACTGAAGGACCATCTGAAGATGCTCCCATTGGAGCATGGTTCCAAATGGAACAATTTGGACATCAAAAAGAATAACTGCAGCACACTGAGACACATGAGGTATATTTTTAAATGTATGGGTTCATAGTGATTTTTT